GTGGAAAATCATACTATTTAACTGCAGGCTGCTCGGTGGCTCAGCCTGTAATCCCACACTTTGGGAGGCTGAGGTGAGTGGACTGCCTGAGCCCGTGGGTTCAAGACCCGCCTGGGCAACTTGGCGAGACCTCATCTCTACAATGAATCAAAAAATTAGCCGGGCTTGGAAGGCTGAAACGGAAGGATCGCTGGAGCCCAGCAGGTCGAGGCTGCGGTAAATAAATAAATAAAATAAAAAATAAATGCAGGCTGCCTTTCCAATGCCCCTTCTTACTGCAGTGGAAATAAAATAAGCTGACTCCATGAAGCTCTGTTCAAGTATTTCCCTCTCCAACAACTATACACTTCTCTCTGAACATTCTGTTCACTCTTTGGTTAATGGCTTAGAAACCATCAAAGTTTCCATTTTTACTTGGTTAAAAGCAATCCATACATCTGTGGGTAAGAAATAAAGAGAAAAATAAAAGAAATTACCATCACTCTCTTCCACATCAAAAACTCAAATAAAACTAGGTTGAATCAGTAAGGTGATAAAATCAGCTCAACATTTTATCCTATGGGATTCCATTACTGTTATTATTATTATTATTATTATTATATTAATACTACAACTATGAGGTGTAAACACAACATTGTGCTGCTTTAGAAGAATGCTGACCCATCATTAACGGAAATTCTACATATTCATTCATTCATTTATTTATTCATTCAAATGTTTTCTGAGTCCCTATTAAAAAACCAAAGGCCAGGCATGGTGGTTCATGCCTGTAATCCCAGCACTTTGGGAGGCCGAGGTGAAAGGATTGCTTGAGCCAAGGGGTTCAAGACCAGCCTGGGCAACTCAACAAGATCTTTCTCTACAATAAATCAAAAAATTAGCCAGGCATGGTGGCACATGCCTATAGTGCCAGCTACTTGGAAGGCTGAGGCAGAAGGATCACCTAAGCCCAGCAGGTCAAGGCCGCAGTGGCCATGAGTGTGCCATTGCACTTCAGCCTAGATGACAGAGTAAGACTCTGACTCAAAAAAAAAAAAAAAAAAAAAAAAAAAAAAGACTTCTCCTTTCACTCAACCAGGAGATCTGGGTAGCCTACATGTCAGAGAAAGGTTTTCAAATTTTCTGTAACTTGGTGAAAAATAGAGATTTCTGAAAATAGGGCAATACAGAGAGGTAAGGTTTTTTTTCTATATTTTAGTTAAAGTTAGCCTAAATATTTTCCCCCACATACTTAATACCATGGTGATAGGCATCATATAAATAGACAATGGCAGCAGGGAGTAGGTCACGGCTTGTATATGTAAAACCAGGAGTAGGAAAAATTTGTCAGGCAAAACTAAATCCCAGCAAATACAGCTGGCTCCTCTTTGTCCAAAAATCATACCTGGGAATTCATTATAGGAACTTGAGAGTCTCTGGCTACCTCTCCAATAACGAAGAGCTACTACAGTCAAAACAGCATAGGAATAAAAATCAGCACTGAAGTACAGTGATACTAAACACCCACATTCCAAACTACAAAAGGTATCTGGAGCCTAGGCAATTGTTTCCTAGATACCCAAGGACTTCTGTGTGTCCAATCTAACAACACAGGCCTTACCTGTTTTATTTATAAACAAAATCCAATTACAGCTTGTAGCATATATATGGGCAAAGATAAATACGCATAAGCATATTTGTCATGATGAGTTTCACACACCTCCCTCAAATCTGTAAGTCTAGAAGGCAAAGAAAGAGTGAAAACATGGGCATTCCAGCATATAAGGGGTAGTGCCAGCCAAGGAGTGGGTGGATCCACCACAGCCACACTTGTATCCACTCAATGCAACAGTACACATGATTACCACTCGACTGCATCAGATGTAGCGCGTTGTAGTTTGCAGCTTTCCTTACCACCTGCTGCTCTGCGTCTCTGTGCGCTCAGTGTATGAATACATGGAGCCCGGGTTCCAGGAGGGCTCGCCCAGCCTACTAGGAAAAGTCACTAACCTCCCGTCACAGGGAAATCTGGCGCAAATGCGTATGCCTTAGGAACAAGCAGCCACCCAGGCCTCACTAAGAGATAGTACATAATTGTAAACACAGTAGAACATGACAGAAAGTTCTCAAAGACATAAGGCCAACTGACTAACAGAATAAAAAATTATCTTTTTTTTCACGATTCCCTAGTGCTAAGAGTCAGAAAAGACAAATACAAAAAACATTTTAAAATCTCTTTAAAAGATAACTGCAGCTGGGCGTGGTGGCTCAAGCCTGTAATCTCAGTACTTTGGGAGGCTGAGGTAAGAGGAGTGCCTGAGCTCAGGGATTAGAGACCAGCCTGGGCAACTTGGCAAGACCTTGTCTCTACAATAAATCAAAAAATTAGCTGGGTGTGGTAGTGTGCCTGTAGTTCCAGCTACTCAGAAGGCTGAGACAGAAGAATCACTTGAGCCCAGTAGGTCGAGGCTGCAGTGGCCGTGAGCATGCCACTGCACTCCAGGCTGGGTGACAGAGGGAGACTCCAACTCAAAAAAAAAAAAAGATAACTGCCTGTTTAAGCAAAAAATGATGGCAATGCATTCTGGGGTATATGACCCATGTAAAAAGTAAAAGGTATGACAACAATAACACAAAGAACAGGAGAGACAATCCATAACGATAAAGGGTCAACTCATCAAGAGAAGAGCGGATGCAGCAGATGGGTAGGAGGGAAGCAGTGAGGAGCCTCAAAAGACAGGTAACAGGGGAAGGAAACAGGGAAAGAAACAGTGAGGAAGAGGACGGCAGATCACGGGAATGGGAGAAAAGTCAGAGATCACAGAGGCCAGAGACAGGGCAGCCAGAACAAAAAAGAAAGCAAACAGAATGAAAGAGAAAATAAAATCGGAAGGGAATCAGAAGCAGCCAGAAACAACTACCATCATCAAGTGTTTCAAACTACAGCGTGTGATTTCATCCAAGTTATAGACATAAACTTTATTGTTACAAATCCTACAACTATGCCAACATACAGATTTGCATCATTTTTGTGTTTTTTCTTTAATTCTAGGCTTTTATAGACTAAACAAGGCAACCACAGGCAACAAGAGTAGCCCTTTATTTTTTATTTTATTTATTTAATTATTTTTGAGTTGGAGTCTCACTCTGTCACCCAGACTGGAGTGCAGTGGCCACTCCCGGCCCCCACAGACTCGACCTGCTGAGCTCCGGCGATCCTTCCTCCTACCACGCCTGGCTGATTTTTTATTTATTGTAAAGATGAAGTCTTGCCAGGTTGCCCGGGCCAATCTCGAACCCGCAGGCTCAGGTAATCCACTCGCTGGGATTACAGACTGAGCCTGGCCTATTTTTTTATTATTTTTATTTTTTAGTTGGAATCTCCCTCCATTGCCCAGGCTGGAGTGCAGTGGGACACTGACAGCCACCCCAGCATCGACATGCTGGGCTCCAGTGATCCTTCTGCCTCAGCCTTCCAAGTAGCCAGAACTACAGGTGCGCAGTACCACACCCGGCTAATTGTCCTTTATATTAGAGAGATGTTATCTAAGAAATTCTACTAACATTAGTCATTTCAATCTCTTGAGATTGCCTTTTAACTCTTCTGACACTCCCTCAATCTCAAACTCACACCATCACACTCTTCTCTCCTAAACTACCAAAACACCACCATTACCACTTAGTGTTAGTCCCTACTCCCTCTTCGCCCCCATAGGCAGTCACTGCAAAGAACTTGCTAATCCATTAATTAAAGATTTCTACTTCCCATTATGGAGGACTAAATTTAGAAAGCCAAATTGGGTAGGGAGGAAACCATGTGTCACAACAAGTGAGACGAATTCCATGGAAGGCGGCTGGGTTACTGGCCTGTTTCTTATAAAGCCTTCGACACACACAAACCCTATTCTGCTGAAAATACAGAGAAGTTCGCCCATGGGTGGGCAACCATTCATCACTGTAATCATCTGGAGAAGACTTTATTGTGTCATCTAGTCTCAAAAGCCACAGGACCTATCAGTAAGCAACTGCCTCAGGGAGCACATCTCCTCTGCTTTCCTGAAACCTGCAATTTAGTCACACACACAAAGGGGGTGGCAAGCCAGCATTAATTGTACCCTTAGAGAAGAGCCACTTCCTGCCTGCAGGGGTAGCAATGACTTTACTGGGCACCAAATAGATACTAAGACAAAAGTAAACACTGTAATTTGATGTTTTGTGGGGGGGGGGTATAATCTGTCCTGTCTATAAACAGTAATAATGCCAGATATAACACAAAGAGCAGGATTCCCCCCATCCCTCCTCCCTCCCTCTCCCGATGACATTCCTCCTGAGATTACTCAGCTTGAGGAAACACACAGAAGCCTCCCTATAGTCCATATGCTGCTGCCAAATGGAACCCAGTAAGAATCCAAGTCTGTACAGACTCCTCCTACCTCCCTCTTACTCAAAGGAAGACTCATTGGAACTCAAAAATATTCCATTGTTTCTACCAGCTGACAAAAAATTCAAGGCAAAGAAGAAACAGGAGAGAAAATGTAGAATAGATATGTGACATGCCCAAGTCTGGATTCATAAAAGGCCAAAATAACAAAAAGTATAAATGAAAACAGAGGCATTCTAAACAAACTAAATAAATGGTTGAAAAAAATTTGGCTGGGTATGGTGACTCACGCCTGTCATCCTGGTACTTTGGGAGGCAGAAGAGACAGGATTGCCTGAGCCCAGGGGTTTGAGACCAGCCTGGGCAACTCGGCAAGACCTCATCTCTACAAAAAAAAAAAAGGAGCTGGGTGAGGTGCCATGTACCTGTAACTCCAGCTACTTAAAAGGCTGAAGCAGAAGGACCGCCTGACCCTAGCCGGTAGAGGCTTCGGCGGCTGCGAGCATGCCACTGCACTCCAGCCTGCGTGACACAGTGAGACGTCAACTCAAAAAAAAAAAAAATCAAAATTCATCCTGAACCCAGGCCTAGGGGCTCATAAAAAGTATAGAAAAGAGGATACACTCAAGAGAGAAAGTACCTGACCAGAGCTCCCGCCATGTGTAATGCAGGCGCACTCGACACTTCTTCTGGTAGCAAAGTAGTTTATGAACTACCTGAATGCAGCGCCTAGAGCAGAGAAAGAGAAGTAGGATAAGCCTAAGAATACAACACAGTAAGAGTTACAAGAGCTCCCCTTTCTTTAGTGAATCAGCTTTGCAAAGGCCGCTAAAGACCCTGGATATGAATATGTATACATGCAAATAAAACCTCTATCTCCTAATAGATAAATCTCTCTCATACAAACACACTGCTCATGCTACCCTCTTCCCCATTTCAATGGGGAAATGACTTACAGATCAACAGTCACTTAAGCACCACTGATACCTTTCCCTTGAGTATCTTTCCAAGGAGAAAAGATTAACCAGTGGGCCAGAATTAGACTACTCTATTCAAAGTAGCAGCCGGGCTCGGTGGCTCAGTCTGTAATCCCGTGCCTTTGGGAGGCTGAGGTGAGTGGATTGCCTGAGCCCGCGGGTTCAAGACCCGCCAGGGCAGCAAGACCTCATCTCTACCATAAATCAAAAAATCAGTTGGGCATGGTAGCACATGCCTGTAATTCCGGCTACTTGGAAGGCTGAGGCGGAAGGATCGCCGGAGCCCAGCAGGTTGAGGCTGCGGTGGCCGGGAGTGGCCACTGCACTCCAGTCTGGGCGACAGAGTGAGACTACAACTCGGGGGGGAAAAAAAAAACAAAGCAGCAGACACAGGATGCAAAAACACAAAATCAAAGATCTTAAGTCTCTATATCTATTTAAATGTGGTTTTTATTTAAATTTTAAATACAATTTAAAATTAATTTACAATTAAATTATATTGACATTAAAGTTAAATTATGCAGGACGACACTGAAGACTGGTTTTCTGGTGATCTGAGATGAGATGATTATTTTGTAAATGACTTTCTAGAGTACAAGACACAGCTGTGTCCAACTGTATATAGCTGCCAACTAATTTTTGTTTTTACTTTATCCTTTGCTATCTGTGTTACGACTCAGTGTGGATTTGTGTTTATACACATTTTTATTTGTATGATTCCAAAACCTCAAATGAATGTTTCCTTATGTGATTGTTAGAGAGAAAAGTTAAATAAAAAATTCAGTTCCTCAGTTGCATTAGCCACACATCAAGTGCTCGAGAACCACATGTAGCTAATGGTTACCACACTGGGCAGCAAAGATATATAGAATTTCCTATCATCACAAAGATTTTGACTGAACAGCATTGTTCTAGGTCATTGGGAATATTCAGGGTATTCACATCTCAACAACATATACATATATGTTTTTGAGAATATTTCCACTTTCTCTTACCAAAGGCCAAAAAGCAATAGAGAATAATTCCAAATAAGCAGCTAGTAGGTTGAGGTTAAGATAAATGATATTTTTAAAATTATAAACCTAACAAAAATTTTTCATCTCTGAGAAAAGATTCTGAAAGGTTAAAGAGCCACAGATGAAATTATACAGGAAAATATTGATGAAATTGATTATACTTCCTGAAAATACCAATCTTTAGGCATGGTGGCTCATGCCTATAATCCCAGCACTTTGGAAGGCCAGAGCAAGAGGACTGCCTGAAGTCAAGAGTTCCAAGAGCAGCCTGGACAACATGGCATGACCTCGTCTCTACAATAAACTTTAAGATTAGCCCGGCATGGTGGTGCATGCCTGTAATTCCAGCTACTTGGAAGGCTGAGGCGGAAGGATTGCCTGAGCCTTGCAGATAGACTGTAGTAGCCGTGAGCGTGCCACTGTACTCCAGCCTAGGCAACAGAGTGAGACTCTGACTCAAAAATTAATAAATAAAATAAAATTAGACTGAGGTGATGGTTGCACAACCCAATAAATAAGTAAAAGAATTATATACTTTAATGTCATTTAAAAAAAATAACTCTGTGGCCTAGGTTTTCCCATTTTTGTCAGGAAATGCAAGTTACAGTTCTCACAGCAATGTTAATTTAATACATTCTATAGCTAGGTATGCTAAATTCCTGATTAAACCATCAAATGTCCACTTTAATAGTCAGTCTGTATTATGTTGATAAATTGGTGTTTCTCATTTGAGAATTTTAGCTTTTGTATTTCCTATTTTCACTTTATATTCACAGATTCAGTGTTCAATTAACTAAGATCTCAGCCCTTAGAATCCCTAATGTTTGGAGGCATTTAAATTGCCTAAAATGCAACATATTAACTACTCTAAGTTCTGAGTCACCACATCCTCAATGTCCTAAAAGTACCCAAATTAGGACAGTTAAAGGAGGGCTTGGTCAGCCGGAAGCCCAGGCCTTGGACTGTGCCCCTCTGGAGCCCAGGATCATCACACAAACCAAAAAGTTCCAGAGAACACTCAGACCTACCTTACTTTTTTGATTTATTCACTCAACAAATATGGACTGTATACCAACTAAATGCTAGTGCTTAAATCTTATTATAGCTAAGCTGTAAAGCTCCCAGAAAACTGGACCCAGCTACCTGCAAGTTTCAAATGAAAGAAGCCCTTCGTTTTGAAACTGCTCTGACATGAAAGCATGAGGTAGAAAAGGCAAAAAAGAGAAAATAAAGTAAAAGGACATAACAAAATGTGGCTCTTCTCTACCCTGACTTATGTAACTTTTCTACCATACCCCCATGGCAATTCAGTTGAACGACAGCTTCAAGTGAAGGCTGCTCCTACAGGTGCTGCTAAGACTCTCCCAGGTTCTATAGCTCTCACCTGAGACAAAGAATATCCTGAGACCCTATTAACTTCAGCAGGCACCATATTAATCTGTGGGGTGTCAATCTGACAATTCATGGACTCAAGCTAAAAGAGAGGTAGCTAATTTACTGGGTCTCTTAGAGAGAAAATAAGAAAGCAGAACGAACACTACTAAACTGCCTCTGTGGAGTGAGAGCCAAAGACATCAGGTAGAGGAAATAAAGTGTCTAACAACATACCAAAGACATAAATAAACTCAACTAAGTTTGCAAGTTAAAGTCCTAAAATTACTCTTCTCCGGAAGTTTTCAGAATACCCCGATAAGAGGGTGCACTGCTACCTTATTAGCCTATTCTGCTTGCTCCATGAGTCACACCTCTCTCTACTCACTCTCTGTAGCTCTAAGTGGTCTTGTAGGAGCCTCTCGGACACAGAATTTAATGAGCACACTATATAACAGACTTCGTTTAAAAGTGTTGGGTATCTTCAGCAGCAATATTAAAAATATTTTACAAACCATGCAGAAATAAAAGTAACATATATGTCAATACATACATCAAAATTTTTAAAATAATTCTCTTTGCCGGGCTCAGTGGCTCAGCCTGTAATCCTGCGCCTTTGGGAGGGTGAGGTGAGTGGATTGCCTGAGCCCGCGGGTCCGAGACCCACCTGGGCAGGAAGACCTCATCTCTACAATAAATCAAAAAAATCAGCCGGGCGTGGTAGCGCATGCCTGTAATTCCGGCTACTTGGAAGGCTGAGGCGGAAGGATCGCCGGAGCCCAGCAGGTCGAGGCTGCGGTGGCTGGGAGCGGCCACTGCACTCCAGTCTGGGCGACAGAGTGAGACTCCAACTCAAAAAATAATAATAATAATAATTCTCTTTTATCAGGTGCAAGGGGCTCACACCTATAATCCCAGCACTTTGGGAGGTGGAGGCAAAAGGACTGCCTGAGCTGGGCAAGGTGGTGTGCACTTGTTCCAGCTACTTGGAAGGCTGAGGCCAAAGGACGGCCTGAGCCTAGCAGGTCAAGGTTGTGGTGACTGTTAGCATGCCATTACATTCCAGTCTGGGCAACAGAGTGAGACTCCAACCCAAAATATAATAATAATGCTCGTTTATTCTCTAAGTAAACTAACCTTGTGATATTGTAAAATATATACTTGGTCTTTAGTCCGTTTCCTGGCATCTAATTCCTAAAATCCTCAGATTCTCCAAAGTGGTGTCTTTTTATATGCCAATAACTGACTAGAGGCTAGCAGCCCCTAGATAGCTTCAGGATGGGGCTGGTGACCAAGGCTGAGTTAGAGGGTTAGATTTTCCCAAAGGAGAGCGCAGGGACTAAAGGTTAAGTTGATCCCCAATGGCCAATGGTTCAATCAATCACATCTATGTCATGAAGCCTCCATGAAAACCCAGAAGGGCAGGGTCTGGAGAGCTTCTGGACAGCAGAATATATGGAGGCTCACAGGAAGGTGAATGAGAACCACCACATTCTGGCAGGGGGGCACCCCAACTCCATGGGACAGAAGCTCTGGGCTCTAGACCCTTCCAGCCCTTGCCCTGTGTATCTCTTCATCTAGTTGTATATTTGTATCCTTTAAAAATATGCTTTGTAAAAATTTTTTAAAATTGTCCAGGTATGGTGGTGCACGCCTGTAGTCCCAGCTACTTGGGAAGCTAAGGTGGAAGGATTGCCTGAGTTCAGGAAGTTGAGGCTACAGTGAGCCATGATGAGTGACTGTGACACTGCACGCCAGCCTGGGTGGCAGAGTAAGATGAGACTCTGACTCAAAAAAAGAAAAGAAAAAAAGCTTTGTAATAAACTGGTAAACGCAAGAAGTATTTTCCTGAGTTCTGTGAGTTGCTAAGCAAGTTAGCCAAATCTGAATCTGAGGAGGGTGTTGTGGGAAGCCCGATTTATAGCCAGTCAGTGAGAAGCACAGGCAAAATAACCTGGGAGTTGTAGGTGGCATCAGAAGATGGCGGGGGGACAGTCTGGGGAAATGAACCCTCAACCTGTGGGAGCTGACACTAACTCCGGGTATACAGTATCACAAATGAATTAGAGGATGCCTAGCTGGTGTCCACTGCAGAACTGATTGCTTGCTTGGTGTTGGGGGAAAACAGCTCCCTGACATTCGGTCACAAAAGTCTTCCGTGGTGATGGTTTTGAGAGAATAGAAGAAACACTTTGAGTGTGTTTTTCACACTCAAACTTGTACAAAACTGCTTACCAGTGATATAAATTGCAGTGTAAATCATCCTAATAGTTTCCAAATCATGTGCTTCTTTTTAGAAATTGTGATGTGATTTCCTGTTGGATACAGTGGTCACTAGCTAAATGATGCCTTTGTTTGAGCTGTG